ATTCAGAGGAGTTCAGAATGTATGTAATTAAAATGATCTACATAGTAAAGAATGAGATAAGAGGGCAAATATAGGCAACAAATGATCACTCCAATAAAGAGGTAAGAGAATAAATACAGGCAATAAAATATTACTTCAAGAAAGAAAGATTCTGAAAATAACCAAATCTTTGAAATGAAGGAAACAGTAAACCAAGTAAAAAATTCAATAGAAAGTATCACCAACAGGGGGCTGGGGTTGTGGCTCATCGGTAGAGCGCCTACCTAACACGTGCGAGGCCCTGGGTTCAATCCTCAGTACCACATAAAAGTAAATAAATTAAATAAAGGTGTGTGTCCAATTAAAAAAGAAAAAAGCATCACCAACAGATTAGATCACTTGGACAGAACCTCAGACAATGAAAACAAATATATAGTCTTTAAAGTTGACCACACAGTGAAGATGATAAAAAAAAAAACATGAACAGAACGTCCAAGAATTGTGGGATAGCATAAAAAGATCAAATTTAAGATTTATTGGGATAGAGGAAGGCACAGAGATTCAAACTAAAGGAATGAAATAATATCAGTGAAATAATATCAGAAAATTTCCCAAACCTGAAGAATTAATTGGAAAATCAAATACAAGAGGCTTACAGGACACCAAATATACAAAATTACAACAGATCCACACCAACATACATTATAATGAAAATCCCAAGCATAAAGAGTAAGGATAAAACTTTAAAAGCCACAAGAGAAAAGTATCAGATTACCTATAGAGGAGAACCAATTTGGATCTTAGCAGACTTATCAACCCAGATTGTCAAAGCTAGGAGATCCTGGAACAACATATACCAAGCTCTGAAAGAAAATGAATGCCAACCAAAAATGTTATGTCCAGCAAAATTAAGCTTCAGATTTGATGATGGAATAAAAACCTTCCATGATAAGCAAAAGTTAAAAGAATTTACCAACTAGAAAGCTTGCACTATAGAATATTCTCAGCAAAATATTCTATGAGGAGGAAATGAAAAACAACAATGAAGATAAGCAAAGGGAAGAAATACACTAAAGGAAAAGCCAATCAAAGGTGAAACCAAGTCAGGTAAAAAAACCAAAAACAAACCAAAATGACCAGGAATACAAACCATATTTCAATAATAACCCTGAATGTTAATGGCCTAAACTCATCAATTAAAAGTTATAGACTGGCAAATTGGATTTAAAAAATAAAAATAAAAAAGACCCAACAATATGCAGCCTTCAAGATACTCAGAGGAAAAGACATCCACAGACTGAAGGTGAAAGGATGGGGAAAAAATACCACTCATACGGTAAAGAAGCAGGAGTTTCCATCCTCAGATAAAGTGGACTTCAAACCAAAGTTAGAAGGAATAAAGAAGGACATTTCATAGTACTTAGGGAATCATACATAAACAAGACATAACAGTTATAAATATTTATGCCTGAAACAGTGAAGCATCTGTATATATCAAATAAACCCTTCTAAATTTCAAGAATCAAATAGACCACAGCACAATAATCCTGGGTAACTTTGTTTTTAAGTATTTTTTTAATTGCAGATGGACACAATACCTTTATTTTGTTTGTTTATTTATGTGGTGCTGAGGATTGACCCCCGTGTCTCACATGTGCTAGGCAAGTGCTACACCACTGAGCCACAACCCCAGCCCCCCCTGTGGGTGACTTTAACATACTTTTTTCGCCTCTGGATAGATCTTTCAAACAAAACTAAACAAAGAAACTATAGAACTTAATAATACAATCAATAATTTAAACTTAACAGGCATAGACAGAATATCCCATCCATCAATGAGTGAATACACTTTTTTCTCAGCAGCACATGGATCCTTCTCTAAAATAAACCATATCTTATGCCACAAAGCAACTCTTAGCAAATACAAAGAGAGAGAGAGAGAGACTACCCTGCATTAATGAAATGAAATTAGAAATCAATGATAAAGTAAAATACAGAAGCTACTCCAGCGTCTGGAGACTAAATAATACTCTATCGAATGACTCATGGATAGCAGAAGAATCAGGGAGGAGATAAAAAAAAATTCCTAGAGGTAAATGAGAACTCCAGTACAGCATACTCAAATCTCTGGGACACTATGAAGGCAGTGCTAAGGAAAGTTCATTGCATTGAGCTCATTCATTAAAAAGAATAAAAAGTCAACAAATAAATGACCTGGCATTACACCTCAAAGCCCTAGAAAAAAATCAACACCAAAAGGAGAAGACCGAAAATAATTAAAATCAAGGTTGCAATTAAGGAAATTGAAACAATTGAAAAAATTGACAAAATAGGGCTGGAGTTGTGGCTCAGTGGTAGAGCCCTCGCCTCAGCACCACATAAAGTGAGAGACCCTGGTTTCGATCCTCAGCAGCACTTAAAAATAAATAAGTGAAATAAAGGTAATGTGTCCAACTACAATGAAAAAAATTAATGTTTTTTTAAAATTGACAGAACAGAAAGCTGGTTCTTTAGAAAAATAAATAAAATCAATAAACCCTTAGCCACCCTAACAAAAAGGAGAGAGAAGACTCAAATTACTAAAATTTATGATGAAAAAGGATATATCATGACAAATACTATTGAAATGCAGAAGATAATTAGAAACTACTTTATTGAAGTATAAATTTTTGAAAGTTTATACTCCAATAAAGTAGAAAATCTCAATGACACTGACAAGTTTCTAGAGACATGATCTGCTCAAACTGAATCAGGGGACATACACAATTTAAACAGATCAATTTTGAGCAATGAAATAGAAGAAGCCATCAAAAGCCTACTAACCAAGAAAAGCCCAGGACCAGATAGATTCTGAGACAAATTCTACAAGACCTTCAAATAAGAATTAATACCAATACTCCTCAAATTATTCCATGAAATAGAAAAGGAACCCTTCCAAACTCATTCTGTGAAGCTAGTATCACCCAGACGGAGATGCATCAAGGAAAGAAAACTTCAGAACAATATCCCTGATGAACATAGATGTAAAAATTCTCACTAAAATTCTGGTAAATAACTTACAAAAACATATTAAAAAGATAGTTCACCATGATCAAGTGGGGTTCATTCCAGGGATGCAAGGTTGGTTTAACACACAGAAACCAATAAACGTAATTCATCACAGTAGTAGACTTAAAGATAAAAATCATATGATCATCTCATCTCAGTAGATGCAAAAAAAAGCATTTGACAAAATACAACACCCTTGTATTTTGTCAATAAACGTAATTCATCACAGTAGTAGACTCAAAGATAAAAATCATATGATCATCTTAGTAGATGCAAAAAAAGCATTTGACAAAATACAACACCCTTTCATGTTCAAAATACTAGAAAAACTAGGGATAATAGGAATATACCTCAACATTGTAAAAGCTATCTATTGCTAAGCCCAAAGCCAACATCATTCTAAATGGAGGAAAATTGGAGGCATTTCCTCTAAGAACTGGAATAATACAAGGATTCCCTCTTTCATCACTCCTGTTCAATATAGTCCTTGAAACTCTAGCCAGAGCAATTAGACGAAGGAAATTAAAGGGATATGAATAGGAAAAGAACTGAAACTATCACTATTTGTGCTGACAACATGATCTCATGTTCTTGGATAGGAAGAATTAACATTGTCAAAATGGCCATACTACCAAAAGGTTGTACAGATTTAATGCAATGCCAATTAAAATCCCAACTATATTTGTCATAGAAATAGAAAAAGCAATCCTAAAAAATCATTTGGAAAAAGAAGAGACCCAGAATAGCCAAAGCAAGAAGAGTAAAGCAGGAGACATCACAATACCAGACCTGAAACTATACTACAAAGCTATAGTAACAAAAACAGCATGGTAGTGGCACCAGTATAGACATGTCGACCAATGGTACAGAATAGAAGACAGAGATAAACCCATATAAATACAGTTATCTCATACTAGACAAAGACACCAAAAACATACATTGGTGAAAAGATTGCCTGTTCAATAAATGGTACTAGGAAAACTGGAAATCCACATGTAGAAAAATGAAATTAAACCTCTAGTGAACAGAGACCCTGCGACTGATAGAAGAATAAGTAGACCCAAATCTTCATTATTTTAGGACATGACTTCCTTAACAGACTCCTAAAGCACAAGAAGTAAAATTAAGAATCAATAAATAGGATGGATTCAAACTAAAAAACTATTTCTCAGCAAAGGAAATGATTGGTAACGTGAAGAGAGAGCCCACAGAGTGGGAGAACATCTTTACTACATGCACATCAGATAGAGCGCTAATTTCAAGGATATTATAAAGAACTCAAAAAACACCCAAAAGATAATAAATAAATATACAAGTAACCCAATTAACAAATGGGCTAAGGAACTGAACAGACACTTCTCAGAAGAAGATATATAATCAATCAACAAATGTATGAAAAAATGTTCAACGTCTCTAGTAATTAGAGAAATGCAAATGAAAACTACTCTATGATTTCATCCCACTCCAGTCAGAATCGCAATTATCAAGAATACAAGCAACAATAAGTGCTGGCAAGGATGTGGAGGAAAAGGTACACTCATTGCTGGTGGCACACCCACTCTGGAAAGCAGTGTGGAGATTACTTAGAAAACTCGGAATGGAACCACCGTTTGACCCAGCTATCCAACTCCTTGGTCTGTACCCAAAGGACTTAAAATCAGCATACTATAGTGACACAGCCACATCAATGTTTATAGCAGCTCAATTCACAATAGCTAATAGATGAATAGATTAAAAAACTGTGTTATATATACACAATGGAATATTACTCAGCATTAAAAGAGAATAAAATTATGGCATTTGCAGGTAATGGATGGAGCTATTAAGCAAAGTAAGCCAATCCCAAAAAAACAAAGGCCGATAAGTGGACATTGATCCATAATTCGGAGAGGGGGCATGGGAAAAATGGAGGAACTTTTGATTGGGCAAAGGGGAGAGTGGGGAGTGGGGTAGGAAAGATGATGGAATGAGAAGGATATTATTACCCTAGGTAAATGTATATTTGCACAAATGGTACAACTTCATATCTTGTGCAACCAGAGAAATGAAAAGTTGTGCCTCCTTTGTTTACAATGAAATAAAATGCATTCTGCTGCCATGTATAACTAATTAGAACAAATAAATTTTAAAAATACTTTAAGAAACACTATATTTGGAATATAATGGGAATGTATATTCAAGTCTTAGGATTGTGATTAAAGTAGTAGTCTAGGGTCTGGGGTTGTGGCCCAGCGGGAGAGTGCTCGCCTAGCATGTGCCAGGCCCTGGGTTTGATCTGCAGCACCACATAAAAATAAATAAATAAAATAAAGGTATGTGTCTAACCAAAAAAAATAATAATAATCTAAAAAAAATAGTATTTTAAGGAATCATAAAGCATTTAATTTAATATGTTAACAATTTGGATTTAATGATTGGCTGATTTACTTCAAAACAAAAGAGAAGAGGCTGAGACAAGAGGATCACAAGTTCAAAGCCACTCTGAGAATTTTAGTGAGATCCCAACTCAAAAGATAAAACAGGCTGAGGTTGTGGCTCAATGGTAGTCCACTTCTAGTTCACTTTTTCATTACTACAAAAAAAAAAGGGAAATAGCAAAGATCAAAGCAGAAATAAATATGCAACTATATTTAGTATGTTGATGACCTGAGTTCAATCCCCATCACCAACAGAAAAAAAAAATTGTCAACAACCATGGAAATAATAGTGCTGATATTTATATAATAAGCACAGAGATGTAAAAACACACCTAACTATAAAAGTAGCCTTGTGGGCCTTCCGCCCGGGCGCTCTCTCGTCTTCTGTTGGTAACCAGCCTTCAGCTACGGGACCCGAAGGCCGAACAGGAGCCGTGGGGCGACCGGGAGCCGGGACCCTTTGTGGCCCACGATGGGCCCTCGCCGCCGACGCCGCAAGCCAGAGACCCCGAAGAGGCGCAGCACAAGTCCACCTCGCGGGACCCCGCGGCGGGAAGCCTCCTTAGGTTCTTCCTCTCGTCAACATAGTCGGAGGAGAATTGGCTGGATTAAGGAGATCAAAAATCTACAGAAGAGCACAGACCTCTTGATAAGGAAGTACCCCTTCAGCCGCCTGGCAAGAGAAATATGTATGAAATTCACACGTGGTGTGGACTTCAGTTGGCAAGCCCAGGCCCTGTTGGCCCTTCAAGAGGCAGCAGAAGCATTTTTAGTTCACCTCTTTGAGGATGCCTACCTCCTTTCCTTACATGCTGGCCGAGTCACTGTTTTCCCCAAGGATGTGCAGCTGGCCAGGAGGATCCGCGGCATGGAGGAAGGACTTGGCTGAACTCCTGCAGCACTGTCTCTGGATGTTACCTGGGACTCTCTGGAGCTACAACTAGATCCAGTGGTGTCTGAGGTGCTACCTGGATTTTGTTGTCTCTGAGCGGTGTGTGACTGTTGCCCTTTGAACTTTCTTTATGAAGGAGAAGAATGCATGTTTCCTCTGTAGCAGAGGTGTTATAGGAGACAATCAACACAGTTCCAAAGGCCTGAAAAGACTTAGTTGGTGTGTTACTCATATGACTCCTAAAGGATTTTGAAGACATCAGATCTGTCATGTTATAGGGAAAGGATATTTACTTTGTTTTAGATCTTTCTGTACTTTATGCATTTTTTAACCATGTGTATATTTGTACTGTTATTGAAAATGAAAGGGAAGAATAAAAATAAATAAATATTTTTTTTTTAAATGTAAGGGTAAAAAATAAAAGTAGCCTTGTAATGCTATATATATATATATATATATATATATATATATATATATATAATTTATATATGTATAACCCTAACATAATGCCATAATATAAATGCCATAACATTTATATATATATATATATATATTTGGAGAAGAAGATTGGAAAAACCAGTAATTGGGGAATTTGCTTGTAATTCTTGCTTATCTATCTCTCTCTAGTTATTGTGACCAACTGAAAGTCTCAGAGAGTACCCACGTGCTTCAGCCCTTCCTCCCCAGCATCCTTGATGGCTTAATTCACCTAGCAGCCCAGTTCAGCTCAGAGGTTCTCAACCTGGTGATGGAGACTCTATGCATCGTTTGTACTGTAGACCCAGAATTCACAGCAAGCATGGAAAGCAAAATCTGCCCCTTCACCATCGCCATTTTCCTAAAGTACAGTAATGGTATGCAATCAGGGATGATATGTTGATGAGAGGCACTAAAAAAATCGTGGTGGCTGGTAAATCTAGGTTAAGTTTCCCTAGGTCTGATGGTCTTAAGAATTGTAAGCAAAGCTTTCAATTAGCAAAGAATAGAATTATGCTGTAGATAGAGCAGCATTAAAAATACTTCCCCAGTGGCCCAAGGCTGATGCAGGAGAATTGCAAGTTAAAAGCCAGCAACTTAGTGAGGCCCTAAGCAATTTAGTTAGACCCTATTTCTAAGTGAAAAATGGATTGGGATGTGGCTTATTAGTTAAGCACCCTTGGGTTCAATATTTGACACACACACCCCCAAGAAAAAAAGACTACTTATTCCTGTATTGTTTACTCTCCTCTGATAAGAACTGGGGGAACAAAGATAGTGAATAAAAGACTCATAGGCAGGAGGCATAATTCAGAACTTGGATAACAGAGTAGGAAGTTGAACAAATAAATGAAAATTTTCTATAAGAGGCCTGAACTGTAATTTAGAAAAGGAGATGCTGAAGAAAGAAACATGCAGAAGTCTATGAACACAGTTGTTCACCAAATGTTTTTTATCCTAGTCAAATGCTGGAAATAACAGAAGTTTAATTATATCCGTAAAATGAAATACTATAAAACCATTAAAATCAAGCATCATACTGATTCAAAACCATGAGAAAATGTTTACATATTAATAAGTGAAAAGATAGTCATCCCAAAAAAATTCATAAAATATGACCCCAAGCCAGGCCCAGTGGCACACACCTGGAATCCCAGCAGCTCAGGAGCCTGAGAAGGGTGGATCGTGAGTTCGGTCCAGCCTCAGCAGCAGCAAGATGCTAAGCAATTCAATGAGACCTTGTCTCTAACACAATACAAAACAGGGATAGGGATGTGGCTCAGTGCTTGAGTGCCCCTGAGTTCAATCCCTGGAGCCCCTCCCCACAAAAAATATATGACCTCAAATTTCAGTTTTGTTTCCAATAAGGATATGAATATAGATAAGTGTGTAGAAAAAAATGCCTCAAAATGTTAATGGTGATTAGGTAGATAGCAGTATAGGTTTTTCTTTTCTTTAATACTTTTCTTCATTTTAAGCTTTTTATAGTGGATATGTATATTAATACTTTATTATTTGAAAAGTATTAAAGATACTTGGTTTTAAAGAGGAATCTCCTGATGGGTGAAGTGGCATACACCTGTAATCTCAGTGACTCAAGAGGAGGATCCCAACTGTGAGGTCAACCTTAGCAATTTAGCCAGGCCCCATCTCACAATTTTTAAAAAATAACAAAAAGAACTAAGGATGTAGTTCAGTGATAAAGTGCCCCTAAGCTCAGTCCCTAGTGCAACTAAAATAGAGAGCTCTAATATTGATGCTCAGAAAAATGTACAGGCATAAGAATTACTTATATGATACCATAGTAATCATATTCTTTGGTTTGCTTTTTCACTTAAAGCTATGTCCCAAAGAGCTTTCCATTTTGCATGCTTGAATATATCTCATTCTTTTTAGTCATCACATAGAATTTCACAAAATGGCTATATGATAATTTTTTCACCCATTTTGTTAATGGACAGTTAGATTATTCCCAATTCTTTTCTATTACAAATAATGCTGTTATGATTTTTAACATATACCACATATATTTTTGCAGCCTAGGTTGAGGGAAATATTTTTACTTATAGGTAAAGTAGATTGAACTACAAACGTTCCATTTTTTCAAAAAGCTTTGGGTTGTTTTCTCCTCAGTACATGAGAACCTGGGGGGAAGACACTGAGCTGTTTTTAAATTTTTCATGTCGTCCTAACTAAGTATCAGTGGGGCTTTTTTTTTTTTTTTTTTTTTTTTTTTAGCATTTGGTTTTACAATCAGCCCAGGTTTCACAAGAACAAAAAACCCTTTAATATTTACTCCAGGAAAAAAGCCAGATTTTGTTTTAGGAGTAGCTGTTAATGACTAGTCCTTGTCTTAATGAAAACATGCATACCCTGCCTCTTGGAGATTTAGCATCTCTCCTGTTCTTTGAGATTATTCGTCTGTCCCCATTAGGTCCCAGGTATGTGATATGTAATCAGTGCAGAAGTTAACATAGATTAGGGCAAAACATAGACATCATTAAAGCCAAAAGCAGATGCAGACCATCAGGCAGGGGATTCCATATTGCCTTATCCACTTTAGATCCTGTTGTCGCCTCACTGGCTCAGGACATCTTCAAGGAGCTGTCTCAGATTGAAGCCTGTCAGGGCCCAATGCAGATGCGGCTAATTCCCACTCTGGTCAGCATAATGCAGGCCCCAGCAGACAAGATCCCTGCAGGTCTCTGTGCGGTAAGTAGCTACAAGGCCTGTGTATTTGAGAAAGAGAACGAGAGAGATCTGCAAGTGCCATCCACAGATCCCACATAGTTAACAGGAAACTAGTAATAGCATCGGAGATTCATGGGGTAATTTTACTGGTCTGCTCTGTCTCTAAGGTCAGTGTGTGATTATCTGAGGCTTTAAGAAAATGGCTGTTGGGGCTGGGGATGTGGCTCAAGCGGTAGCGCGCTCGCCTAGCATGCGTGCAGCCCGGGTTCGATCCTCAGCACCACATACAAACAAAGATGTTATGTCTGCTGAAAACTAAGAAATAAATATTAAAAAAAAAAAGAAAATGGCTCTTATTGCAGAGGTACTCTTGGTTAATTGATTAGAGTGCCACTATTACATAGCACCATTAAGTATGTCACCTGGCAGTCCAGTCCACTGCTGTGTGTCCCACCTCCTACATCTAATAAAGTAATGAGCCATCATAAGGAGGCTGAGAGTACTGTCTACTGATGTTCTTTTTTTTTTTTGGAAACTTGGTTTCATTAATGAGTTTTCTCTGGGTTGCTCTGTTGTATCCACCCAGTAAGTAGTTGATTATTGGGTACCTCCCACCTTAGAGGCAATTCTCATTCTTCTCTCTTCTCCCCTTCAGACAGCCATTGATATCCTGACAACAGTAGTTCGGAATACAAAGCCTCCACTTTCCCAGCTTCTCATCTGCCAAGCTTTCCCTGCTGTAGCACAGTGTACCCTGCACACAGATGATAATGCCACCATGCAGGTATCTGAGAAATGGAGATTAGAAGAATGGTAGCTTCCTTCCATTGGCTTATAGTAAGCTGAGAAATCTGACATGCTTTCATGCTTTTAAAATACAGGTTTGTGGGCTGGGGTTGTGGCTCAGTGGCAGAGCACTTGCCTCACACATGTGAGACATTGGGTTCGCTCCTCAGCACCACATAAAAATAAGCAAACAAAGATATTGTGTCCATCTATAACTAAAAAAAAAAAAAATAAAGTAAAATACAGGTTTGTCAATTTCATATTTACCCAGAGGATGCAGAAAGGATTCAAGCTACAAAAGACTAACAAACTGTACTTTGGGATGTGTTATAACCCTAAAGAGTTTAGAAACCAGGCATTCTGGCCATCTGCATCTGAGTATTACTACTATACAAGAGATTACAGACATCTAAATCTGGGGCCATTAAGAAAATCTGAGCTGGGTATGGTGGTATACACCTGTAATCGAGACTTGAGAGACTGAAGCAGGAGAATTACAAGTTTGAAGTCAGCCTCAGCAAATTAGCAAGACCCTGTTTCAAAATAAAAAGGTCTGGAGATGTGGCTCAGTTCCTAGAGTGCCCCTAGAGTCAATCTCCAGTACCACCAAAAACAAGAAAAGAAAGTCTTTTTCTTTTTTTGATGAAGTTAGCAAAATTGTAGGCCTCTGGAGAGGTGAGGAAAGCCTAAATATTCTTCTGTGTTTCTTGGGTTAGTTGGTTACTTTTTCTTGTCTTTACTACTAAAGTTGATTATAAAGATTATAGAACTTACCAGTGGATATTCATCAGCTTGGAGATTATATGTAAGGTCTGTCTGTATTCCTATAAAGACTTTCAAGACATCTAATTATTGCTATATCTCAGAAATAATTTTTCCAGTACCAGAGGTAGATCTTAATAGTTAAAACTCAGTTTGCTTGGTCATTATCCCTTGTGGTCAAAAAGAAATGCATTTTGAGTCTTAGTAGTGTCGCACATCTGTAATCCCAGCTACTCGGGAGACTAAGGCAGGAAGATGACAAATTCAAGGACAGCCTTAACAACTTAGACAAGACCCTGTTCAAATGAAAAATTAAAAGGTCTTGGGATGTAGCTTTATGGGAGAACACCCCTGGTACCACAGGAAAAAGAAAAAATGCATTTTTAGATAACTGAATGGGTAAAGGGAAAATTTTTATCTATAGCAGTAAATTCCTGACTCTAGTGGAATGAGCCCACCACAAACCCTGTAGTCTCACGACTGTTATAAGGCATAGACCTCAGAGTAATACTTGCTCATACAAATTGAGGGCTTCTGTCATCTCTTCCCCAGTTGCTAATCTTGCTTGTTACTTCTATCTCCCCAGAATGGTGGAGAGTGCTTGCGGGCCTATGTGTCAGTGACGCTGGAGCAGGTAGCCCAGTGGCATGATGAACAAGGCCACAATGGACTGTGGTATGTGATGCAAG